TTTTTAAGGTGTACTTTAAAAATACAAATTAAAAAATCTTTATTTAATTTACATTATTAATTTCACATTTTAAAAAATGTTAAAAAGTCCAAAAAAAAAAAAGGCTACAACAAGTCCAGCTCGACGGTGGACCCTACCAAAACATGAACTTGGTTAAGTTTGGACGGAACGATGACATTAGCCATTAGAGAATGGCTGATTTGCCACCGTTGACGAGTTTAAAGGGTCATTTGCTACTGTTTTCAGTTAGGGGTTTTTTTGCCAGCTGTCAACCAGTTTAAGGAGTAATTTGCATGATTTGCCATTGAGGGCTTACTCGCACAATTTTTAGCATGGGGGCTTACACATTAATATGGGATAAGTCTGAGGGCTTAATATCGAGTTTTGCCTATACATGGAGAACCTCATTTTACGGTTTGGAAGAAAAAATGAGGGGAAGCACAATAAGTTAGTGGACGCTGATACATCAACCCCTGTTTCACACTCTGTTACACCCTCATTACTTTCCGTTAACTCTAAAGTTACCTAACCCAACCCAGCCCTTGCTGTTCATCATCCTCACTTCTTCTCTCGTGACCCCAAATTTCGAGGCTGGTAACTATTTCTCCTCGAATTCAAATAGTTGTTATCAGACTGAAAGGATCTACATCTGGATTTCGGCTCCGGTAGCTCCGGTGGAGATAGAGCAGATTCAGGTTGGAAGATCCGGGTAGACAGTGATGTCAATGAGTCGATATGGATATCCTTGGTGGCGACGTCATCTGTAAAAGAAGGGTTCGAGGCGGCCACCGACTCTTCGGATCTGGTTGTGACACCGAAAGGGTTGGCGGTCTCATCCGCTGGCTTTTGGATCTGGTTCTACAAACGATGCTTCAACAGGAACTTGAGGAACACACTGTACAACTTCAGCAGCCTGGGTTCCTTCGAACCGACCTCCAACAGATCTGCTTTCGCCACCATCGCCCTGTAACGCCATGTCCCCTGCTTCTGGGTCTGATGATTCCGCCAGATCTGCTTCTGGGTTTGATGCTTCTCTCTCCACTGTTTCAATTGATGATTGCTCTATCTCTGCTCCTACTCCTGCGACCCACGAGAAATGGAAAAGCATCGTGACAGCGATGGACCATTTGAGAAAACAGGGGAACAATCGAAGATGTCCGAGAATCAACTGGAACGGCATAGATAGAAAAGGAGAGAAAGAAAGAAAGGACTGGGTTACGTGGGTTTGGGAGTTAACGGAGAGGTAACGAAATGTAAGGTGGTAGTGGAGGGTGTAACGGTGGAGAGTATACATAGCATTGCCCTAAGTTACTAAAAGGGGTAAGTGTATAAATTAAGAAATATAATTAATATATTAGTTATAATTAATTTATATAAAAAATATAAACATTAATTTTAAATTAATTAATTGATTAAAATTATTTATATATTAATTACATAAAAATGAATATTAACTTTAATAATTTTCATATAAATTAATTATAAAAATATATTTATTTTATTTTTAATTTATATTTTAAAAACATCAATTACACAAACTTTTAATAAATTAATTGAAACTACCCCGAAATGATGGTTGTACGAAGTCCACGTACCTACTAATCTTTTTAGTAATAATTTATTGTAACTGTGAATTCAAATCGGTAGTTATGGTTTGTGTTAGAATTATTATTCGTCCATTTTTATAATTTTTTCTTTAATGTGTGGTTTGGGACACTAAAAATAATATTAATATTTTTCGTTTCTCAAAGATTTATAGAAGATTAACATGCATGTGCGAATTTTTCCACATATATGCTATCATGTAATAAGTAATATCTCAACTTTTTATTAAAAAAATATAGTTATAAATAATATATAAATATAAAAATTAGTTACCATTGATTGATAAATCGGTCTTAAATTTTTTAAGACATAAAAACCTTGGCTTATAAAATTACTAGGTAAGTAATAAAACTTGTGTTGAGTCGCTCCCATTAATTGGAAAATTTTGTCCATCACTATTGATTGGTCTCGTAATCATCCTCTGAGAGGAATGGTATTTAGAATATCACAATCTTAAATTCAAACCATACATTCATTCTTGTACCCTAGTGTCTCACCCCCTAAGTGTAAGGATAGATCTGAGGTTAAAGAGTTTGGACGTATTGCTATATTTCCTTAATGACCGAAATAACTTGTAAGTTCAGTGCTTCTTGCTTATATAGTTGCATGACATCTACAGTAGGAATGTTTACACCCATTCCTCTATCCTTGAGATCATCGCCTGAACGAACATGTCAGACTCTGATTATCTCGTTAAGCAGGTCACGTAGATACCTTATTAAGGCTTATAAATACCCTCAAGAGCCATCTCAAAAAGGTAATTGAAATTGACCTAAAGCTTATTTTTCCATAATTCTTAAAGGTAGATCAGAGTATTGCTGATTTAAGCATCAGAGTGTCTACCATGAGGATCCACCTTGAGGCTTTGCAGGTCATCCTGAAGAGAAGACTGGGACTAAAGGGAACTGCCCGGTTTGTTGTAATTACATTTGGCGTCGTATGTGGGAAATCGAACTAAAAGCTTCATTGTTCTTTTCTTATCATGGTTAATACTTGGTCTATCCGAATTGGGAGTCAAGCCCAGCCTCTTGGATGGGGCCAAGCTCAGTGCCCAAATAATCTTCCACCTCATACCCAAACCAATTTGCTCCTATGGAACATCTAGAAGGAGCCGATGAGAACCAACCTCACAATTTAACTCCCTCCCAACCAGGGTGAGGTAGTCTTAGCTCAGCTCATTGTAATGCAACAACAATTCAATGTCTTTCAGTTGGTTTTAGCTCAACTCTTAGCTTGAACCAATCTTGGAGATCCTCTCATTAACCTGCTAAATCCAACTCAGCAACACCTAGTTCAGCCGCAAGACCCCAACCCAATTCACTCCAATGATAACCGACTTGTTCCTACTCTTAGTGAATCACACAGTCAATCTCATGTGGTTCCACCCCAACAACCTTCGCCTGATGAAGTCACACAATGTCTAGACAGTTTAGAAAAGATGATGGTCGAACAGCGAGGTGCTCCACCTTTTTAGAACAATACTACTTCATTACCTCATCCTCTAAACACCAACATAACCTTGGAACCTTATCCTACTGGCTTTAAGATACATCAGTTTGAAACATATAATGGAATTAAGGACCCAGGCGATCATCTGCATGCTTTCTATTCCTGTATACAAGCTCAAAATGCCTCTAATGCCTTGATGTGCAAAATTTTTCCTTCTATTATCTGAGATAACGCTCGCACTTGGTACTATAGTTTACCTCCGAGATCTATCAGCTTCTATACAGAAATGGTGTCTATTTTTGCTACAAAGATTTCCAGTAGGAGGTTAATCATGAAAACCACACCTGAGCTCATGAGAGTCATATAGAGGGAGGGGGAGTCTTTGAAAAACCATATGAGCAGATTCAATGATGCAATTCTTGAGGTTAGCTCATTTGACCAAGCTGTAAGAATCGCAATTGTAATTCAAGGCCTTAAGCATGAAAGATTTAGGGACAATCTCATTAAGCATCCCCCTACTTCCTTTGATGAGGTTAACAATAGGTCCTTGAAATTTATAACAGCTGAAAAGTATACTTAATCACAAAAACCAATGCTGGTTAAGAACCACAACCCAGCTTGGAAAGAAAAGGGGCAGAGTAGGAAGTGAATCGAGACAATTCCAAACCGAGGTCCAATGCCAATCTCCACTCCCAGATTTGGAAACCAGATTCAATGGCATCTCAACCAACTTTTGGAAAAGCACAATTTCGTGGACCCCTTTTAATCTGTCGAGGCTATAGATATTCATGCATATTAAGAATAAGATGGATGTGAGGCGACCAACACCAATGAGAAGTTTTCCTACTACCCGTGATCACACTAGATACTGTGATTTTCATCAAGATCATGGTCATACAATGGAGGAATGTAACAATCTAAAGTATGAGTTGGAAAGCTTAACTTAGAAGAGGATGTTGAATGAATACATCTAGAGAGCAGATCAACATAACTTTGTCAAGGAACAAAGGTCACAGTCACAGGGGTCTTGTAATGCAGGTAATAGACAAAGAGTGGGATATCAACAAGTTCCACCACCCCTCCCACCACCGACTAGAATCATTCACATGATCACAAGTGGCCTAGAAGTAGGAGGTTTGAGCTCCAAACAGAGGAAACTATATGTCAGGGAGGTGAAACATCAAAACTGAGCTCAGAAACAAAAATTTGATGATGTTGAAAGGAAGAATCAACCCATCACTTGTACCTTTGCTGACCTCAACAGAGTTATAACTCCTCACAATGACCCATTGGTCACATCTAGTGTAATCAACAACTACGAGGCACGTCGTGTTCTTATCAATATAGGCAGTGCACCGGACATCATGTATAACCATTATTTGAGAGTTTGGGCCTAGATCCAACTCTATTATAGAGGTACAATGGCCCTATTTATAGTTTCAACAATCAGCCTATTTAGGTGGAAAGGATCCTTACCTTCAATGCAGCATTTAAGAGTGGTCAAACTTATGTCACTCCTTCAATTTGGTTTTTGGCTATTAAAGTGGCTTCATTTTTCAACATTATTATATGCCAGCCTACTTTAATAGAGATTCGAGCTGTGGTCTCCCAATCTCATCTATGTATGAAGTTCTCCACTCCCATGGGAGTAGTGACACTACGAGGTAATCAGGAAACAACCAGACATTGTTATATTACCTTGGTTACAAGACCTCAAAAACAAACGAATCAGATGCCAGAAAGCGTTCAATAGCAAGTTCACGATCAGCAGTAGGTGATGAGGTAGACATACTTGATAATCGATCAAAGGATGAAACCCAGGCTGCCCTAGTTGAAGATGTTGAGGAAGTACAAATTAACAACAAAGATCCGAACAGAAAAACCAAAATCGAAACTTGTTTAAGCCTAAAGGAAGGAGCCAACTTGATGGCATTCCTCCGAGCTAACAAAGATGTTTTTGCTTGGACCTTTGTAGACATGCCGAGAATCCCCACCTTTGTATCTATGCATAGACTTAGCACAAATCCCTTGAAAAAGCCAATTGCATAGAAACGACGCCTCTTTTGGGGGGAGAGACTCAAGGTGATTAAAGATGAATTAGAAAAGCTCTTGCAAGCAGGTTTTATCAAAAGAGTTGACTATTGTGAATGGGTCACCAACCTAGTGTTAGTCAAGAAAGCTATAGCCCAAAAGACGAAGAAAAAACTTTATTCTATACAAGAGATGAAATCTATTGCTATGTCATGATGGCTTTTGACTTAAAGAATGCAAGTGCCACTTATCAAAAAATGGTAACCATTGTATTCCAAGCTCATATTGGCAAGAACTTAGAAGATTATGTTGATGACATTGTTGTGAAGAGCTTGAAAGCTAAAGATCATAGAGCTGACCTGGAGAAAACTTTCACTAATTTGAGGAAGAATAGAATGCGCGTAAATCCAGCAACCTATATCTTTGGAGTGGAATCTGGAAAATTTCTAGGTTTCAT